CCAGGGAGGTGGTTGAGGCACCATCCCTGGAGATGTTCAAAAGACGGGTTGATGTAGTGCTGGGAGGTATGGTTTAGTGATGATGCTCCTTGTTTGTTGTGTGGGTGTCTATTTTTGTCAGTTAGGTTGACGGTTGGACAAGATGATCTTTAAGGTCCCTTCCAACCTAGAAGATTCTGTGATTCTGTGATTCTGTGACCTGGCTGGGGGGGATGATGCTCTGCAACCCCTGCCAGGGCTCAGTTGATGCTGTGCGTGTGCCAGCACATGGCCAAACCCTGGTGGGGGGGTGCCAAATATGTCCCCCACCAGGATGCCCAGGCACGCTGCAGCGAGTCGGGTCCCCAGGGAAGGTGAGCAGGACCCCAAAGTGAAGGCTGCTGCCTGCCCCACACCTCCTGCCCATGGTGGGCTGGGGGCAAAGCCGGGCTGCGGTGGGGCGGGGGGGGGCTGTGCTAGGGTGGCTGGACTCTGCAGGTGGGTGTTGGGTTGGGAGGGGGTCTGTGGGGCTGTGGGCTGGATTTTCACCCCCTTCTCGCAGGCGAACTTGCCGCTGCTGCAGCGGGAGCTGCTGCACTGTGCCCGCATGGCCAAGCAGACCCCGGCCCAGTACCTGGCCCAGCACGAGCAGCTGCTGCTGGATGCCAACGCCTCCTCTCCCATCGACTCCTCCGAACTGCTCCTGGAGGTGGGCGAGAGCGGCAAGAGGAGGACGCCAGACAGGTGAGAGGGGGGTGCATGGGGTGGTTTTTATGGGGGGGACACATCCCTGCCACCCCCTCCCTGGGGAGGTGGACACTGGTGCCCGGTAGGGACCGACCTCCTCTCCTCCACCCAGGACCAAAGAGAACGGTTTGGACCGAGACCCTCTGCACCCCGAGCACCTCAGCAAGCGGCCGTGCACCATGAGCCCGGCGCAGCGCTACAGCCCCAGCAACGGGCTCAGCCACCCTCCCAACGGGCTGGGGCACCCCCCTGCCGCCCCCCCCTTGCCCCAGCACTACCGCCTGGAGGACATGGCCATGGCGCACCACTACCGCGACGCCTACCGCCACCCCGACCCCCGGGAGCTCCGCGAGCGCCAGCGGCCTGCCGGTGAGTGGTGGCATCCCTGTGTGCCATGGCTGGGAGCAGGGGGGAACAGGATAGGGGGCTGGGGACACCCCCCCACCAAGGGAGAGGGGTTCTGCAAGGGGTGACCCCTGCTCTTGCCTTGCAGCGGTGCATGGGGCACGGCAGGAGGAGGTGATCGACCACCGGCTCACCGACCGGGAGTGGGCAGAGGAGTGGAAACACCTCAATAACGTACGTAGTGCCCCCCCCCAAACCCCCTTCCACCTCCAGGGGTCCCATGGGGCTGACACACATGCTTTGCCCCCCCCCTACATTTTCCCCTCCATCCCCACTGCATCCCCCCACAGGGCTTTTCTCCTGAGCATCCTCTGTTCCCTACAGCCAGAATGGCACACCA